TATTTAAAGTTCCATGGAAGTGTCCAATCTCCATATAGTCTTTTTCAACTAAAATTACTTTTTTAATCCTTTTCTGCCAGTCTTCTTCGGTAATATCAGATACTTTTTCTTTAACATACTTCTCAGCAATACTCTCAAGGGCATACACTTTTTCAAATGTTTCTGTCTGTAAAACTTCAAGTAGTTGGTTTTTGGTATAGTTATTTTCAAAATACAAATTGTTATCCATTTGAAAACTTTGTATTTCATCTTTCCTCGAATTTTTATTCGGTACTTTGATGAGCTGTCGCGAATGATAAGAAGTGTTATCAAGAACCATTACACTATTCGCATCCAAATTTGGGATCAATGTGTTTTCAAATCATTTCTCAAAAATATCAGCTTTCATGTTCTTATGATAGTCAACATTGCCGTCCTCAAGTTTTTTTCCACATGATTTCAAAGAATTCGGAACCCATCTTTTATTTCCTTCGCAATGCACAATGATTAGTCGCGATCCTTTGTTTGCATGCATGTCAGGCGTACATATTCTCGAACCATCAGTCCACCCTTTCGTAACTGTGTCGTGAGTGTCATACCAAGTTTCGTCCAAATAGAAAATTTGCCGTTGTTCTTGTCTATATTTAGTTATTTGTTACGCAATTCCACTATTCTTCTGCTTTCCACAACTGCTTGACGTTTGTTTATTATTTTAAATCTAAATCCTAGTTTCTTTATCCAATTCTGAAGAGTTTTGTCAAAGCAGCTCACGTTATGGCCGGAAGTATTCAATTTCTTCCTTACATTTCAATTGTAGGAATCTCATTGCTTTTGTAACAGTCGTATATTGGTTTTTTTTTAATGATTTTATTAGACGAACATCTGAAGGTTTTGGTAATCCCGCATCAAATCACGTCTTGCGTTTATAAAGTTGGTTTTTGACTATTTTACGTACAGTTGAGAAAGGAATTTCAGTCAAATCTAATGTTGCTTGTAATAGTTTTTTCCCTCGAAACCAAACTTGATATGTAGATTCGTATTTACAATAAAACATAATCTCTGTGTTTCAATATCCGAATGCATCCGAATCTTATTCACTGGTATCTCTTTTTCGCATTGTTCACCAGCGCTATTGGAATCACTACACAGGAAAAAGTCTGCGCTGTTATCACACTCGTTATTACCATTAGTACTTGTCCACGGATGCCACATTTTAAACAAATAACAAAGCCTTTTAGGTAATTATAACTTCACCAATATCAAATTTCAACACTTCTGAACTGAACATTGACAACACGACTCTTCTAACCATCCTCACATTCTATTGGACACCGTAACATGATTTCAAATTTAATTTTATGACTCTTCGGCCAATCATAAAACTCGGTTAGTAAAAAATAAACAATACGAACCGCCACTTCTTCAGTCCACGTAGACTAATTCGTAGCGGCATTATTCCTTTGTATTGGTTTTTTTAGCATTTGAGTTCGCCGAAGCTTTAAGAATTAATATATTGGTTACTTGGACTATACCTATATACTACCTGTGCTGAAAACTCGGGCCTAACACATAGATGACGCTAGTCTTACTGCATTCACCGTTTTTCAGTTAGTGCTAACCTTCAGAAGAAAGCTGTTAAAATTTCATGACATTCTACTGATAATTTTGTGAGTGAGTTAAGAGTAACACTACTTTTGTTATTTTCAAAACAATCGATCAAAAACAATTTGTGTTTCAATTTTACAATGCTTGTTGATGGGAAAAAATACCGTTTAAGCGAAACAATGGCTTGAAAATTGTTATAAGGACTCCGCTCCATCAGAAACAACAATTAATTGATGGTTTGCTGAATTCAAACGTGGTTGTGGCAAAACCGATGATGCAGAACGCAGTGGACGTCCAAATGAGGCAGTAACACCAGAAAACATAAAAAAACCCACAAAATTGTTTTGAATGATCGAAAAGTGAAGTTGCATGAGTTAACTGATATTGTAGATATCAAGAGAACGTGTTGGCTTTATATTGCATGGGCATTTGGCGCTCTAAGCAAAGTGTGTGCTGTCCGAGCTCACTGTTGACTAAAAACAAGAACGTTTTGATGATTCCGAGCAGTTTGTGGCCATGTTCAAACAAAACAAACCGGAAATTTTGAAAATATATTGCGGCAGTTGATTCGCCAAGAGCATATGCAGGAGTAACTTCAGTGAAGAATCCTGCACTGACACCTGTCGGATATAATCCAACGCCCTTCATGATATTAGCCAAGGGAGTAGTTGTTCAGTGTAGGGAGTTAAGACTGGCCTGAACAAATTGTTCTTTCAGATGATTTGAGTGGCAATTGTGTTGGATCGGAATATTTCGATGGAAAATCTTTGGTTAACAAAATATTTGGAAAAATCACAGGAGTAAAACACACATGAGGGTGGATATCAATCTTATGTAGGGTGGCATCAATATCGACTAAAATTCATGTCAATGTATATTTTTGAATAAGAACGTGTCCTCATATTCATTCGTATATTATTGAAATTTTACCTTTCGTTCAACTCAAGCATTATCCTTATTCCTTATCATAATTGTCATGGAAATTAGAACAGCACTTCGATATTTTGTCCCAAATTTTCATAAGTAGAGGTGACCGCCCCATATAATTTCATTTAAATTTCGATGCAATTTCAATTGGAATTGGCATTCCTAATAAACTCGCGTCAACCATAAACAAATCATTTAAAATCAAGTCGTTAAATAATTTACCAGTCAAGGTTGTTCTCCACAATATATTAACTCACCCGCATATTAAGAAACCCACAAAAGCTCACACGATATTTCAACATTCAACTATTTTCAATGACTGCAATCAAATGGAACCGACACCGAAATAAGAATGGCAACATTTGTAGGAAAAGAAGAAGGCGAAACCTTCGATGAATATGACTAATCACGTCATGAATCTCGCTCAAGGGAATTCCGTGTGGTAAAATAAACAACAGTCATTAGCCATGACTTCGCAGAATGTATAATGTCGCTCGAGGATAGTTTGAAATTATGTTTGCCGTCACTTTGGTTTTAAACCAACTTCCACACAGGAGATGGCCTCAATTCAATGTTTAATAGA